GTTGTTTGGCGGGTCCGGGCTGGGGATTCGAACCCGCCACCTTAGGTGTACGTGGCTGGCGCCTTAGCCAGTTGAGCTATAGGCGCCGAGCCCTCAAAACTGTTTTGAGAACTAGTGTTGCTGGAATCTGGACTTTGGCTGAATGGTCATATTGCTGGACACCTAGGGGCTCATGTGGCTATAGTAGATATGCATATCTGGAAGGGTAGGGAGGTGTGGAAGGATACGTGGTCACCTATAATCACTGACAGGTGGATTTTAGCACAGGCAAAGCAAAGACCTTGGTGATTAGCTCATACAAACATCTTATGATATTAAGTGCATCTCAGCAGAAGTACAGGAAGGATAGGATCTGAAAACAAGAAGAGAATTTTCTGCCAGGTGTGGTGGCTCACACCTGTAATTCTAGCACTCTGGGAGGCCAAGGCAGGTGGGTTGCTTGAGCTCACAGGTTTGAGGCCTGGGCAAGAGCGAGACCTCATCTCTACCAAAAATAGAAAGATTGAGGCAAGAGGATCACTTGAGCCCAAGAGTTTGAGGTTGCTATGAGCTATGATGCCATAGCATTCTACCCAGGGCAATAGCTTGAGACTCAAAAAAAGAAAAAAGAAAAAAACAAAACAGAAGAGAATTTTCTGTATGCTTAAATGTGTTAACTGGAATGAATGGGCATATACAACCAAAACTTTTCTTTATGATGAAAAATTAAATTAGGGCAGCACCTGCGGCTCAGTGGGTAGGGCACTGGCCCCAGATACTGAGGGTGGCGGGTTTGAACCCGTCCCTGGCCAAACTGCAACAAAAATAGCTGGGCTTGTGGTGGGTGCCTGGAGTCCCAGCTGAGGCAAGAGAATTGCCTAAGGCCAGGAATTGGAGGTTGCTGTGAGCTGTGATGTCATGGCACTCTACCGAGGGTGATAAAATGAGACTCTAGGCTCGGCGCCTATAGCTCAACCGGCTAAGGTGCCAGCCACGTACACCTAAGGTGGCGGGTTCGAATCCCCAGCCTGGACCCGCCAAACAACA